CCCACAGAACTGCCGCTCACTGGATGTTTTTTCTTTTTCGGACCATTCTCTGTAAACCCTAGAGATGGTTGTGCGTGAAAATCCCAGTAGATCAGCAGTTTCTGAAATACTCAGACCAGCCCTTCTGGCACCATCAATCATGCCACGTTCAAAGTCACTCAAATCACCTTTCTTCCCCATACTGATGCTCGGTTTGAACTGCAGGAGATTGTCTTGACCATGTCTACATGCCTAAATGCACTGAGTTGCCGCCATGTGATTGGCTGCTTAGAAATTAAGTGTTAACGAGCAGTTGGACAGGTGTACCTAATAAAGTGGCCGGTGAGTGTATATATATATAAGTCCCAGCATCACATATAACATATGCAGCCTTCCTGCTGCTAATTTCAAACCCTTTTTGAACACTTTGTTGTCTTGAAAATTAACCTTATTGTTGCGTTACCAATGGCCTCCATGGTCACATTTTACAGACAAACATAGGCCGTGCACGACCAGCTATCATTACATAAACTTCTACCACTACACTTTTATATAAAAAAGCATACAGATGTGACACGGTGGGGTCCTGTCACTGTGCCTTCAACTATTCATGGGATATCCCCCTTTGCAGACTGATCAGTGTGCAAAGGTCCTGTTAAAAGGGACTTTTTCCTCTCCACTGTTGCTACAAGCATGCTTAGCGTGAGTGATTTCCTCCGATTCAATGAGTCGATGCAATAAACTGTTTTTCCTTAAATAGAAAACTTCAATCAAATCAGCTTCAATCAAAATCAATAGGACTGGATGATCTGGTGAACTGTAAAGTGCCTTGAGATGACATGTGTTGTGAATTGGCGCTATATAAATAAACTGAATTGAATTGAATAAACAGAACTGTGATTATAAATGTCAAATGAATCAGTTAAGGTCGTTGCTTATGACTCATTCTAAACAGATCCTTTGCTTTATTTATTTTTATTTTTGATAATCCTTTAGTGTGGCCTAGTAAAAAAAATGTTTATAATAAGATTATGTCTAGTATTGGGTGTCGTCTAGTTTATATAGTATTTTAATGTAGGCTACTCAGAGCTTCTACTGTGTCGCTTAATAATTTATATTGTTCGTGTTTTAATTTTTAAAGAAAACATCAAGATCAGACACATAATTTGGGCATTTTAGAGTCTTGTTCATTGATCCATAGCCGACTTCTGGGGTCCACTGGTGGGGAGGGGGATGCGAAAGTTGGGTGTCGTGCACGTCTTGGCCGCAGGGGGGCTGTCTTGAGTGACTCCTGCTCCTCCTCCTTCACCCACCGTGTTTAGCATTCCCAGAAATCTGCGCCCAGCGCACCAAAACAGCCCGGATGGCAGGAAATGTGGCATGAAGGAGACGTGTGGTCGAGCGTCCCTGAGCCGAACATGGACCTGAGGAGCCGGGACGGAGCACCGCTGACAGACCGCAGCACAAAGCGCGTGGAGAAGCGCGCACTGGTTTAGCGTCTGCGGAGCATTTCAGCGATTTTGATCCGAGTGACGCGCAGAGGACGCAGCTTGGAGGCTGGAGGGCCGATCACAGCCGCCCGGGCTGCTTTCTTTCTCTTCTTTTCTACATATATAAAACAAATCTGATTCTAATCAGCGCGACTCCTCCGGCTGGATAGAGAAGGAAGAGGAGGAGAAGGAAAATGAGGTAAGCTGCTGCGGCTCCACGCGCTCCGTTTGACGCGTCATGACAGATGCTCTGCCCTCTGCCTGCAGCTCCATTCACCGTCTGAACATCCCTGCAGCAGTTTCGGCTCATTTATCAGCTCCTTCTTGGCACCCAGGGGCCTCCTCCACCCTCCCCTCCGCGCACAGCGCTCGGTTCACCAAATCCTGCTTGTTTTCCTTTCCATTGTCACCGCCGGACCCGCCCTTTGTGCTGAAAGCCGGACTCTGGTCCGGTTCGTGTTGTCATGGAAACGACAGCATCATGTATTTCTCCACATCAGCGATAAACAGAGAAAGAAAAGGCCTGCTTTGGTGAACATGACCGCCATATGTGAGCTGCTGTGAGGGGGGGATAAATGGGGGCGCAGGAGGAGGTGGAGGGGGATGTTTATTCTAGTGGTTGCCAGGCAGGTTAACAGCCCACCCCCCACCCACCACACACATGCTCCTCCTGGATGGATCCAGCCTGTGGAGCATGTTTGCTAAATCAAATGATATTCTGTTTGGGTTTGTGCAAAATTAATGGAGCATTTCTCTTTTTCTGGTCATTCAATCATCCGCAGGGCTGGTTGGGTTATTTTTACCCAGCTGTCTTTTTACTTTGCTCCTTTATGATTTAACCCCCTTCACTGGGAGATCCAAATACTACTCCTCTGTCTGGTAGATTCAGAACCAGCTGCTTTGCTCTCAGAAAGTAAACATGTCAGAACCATGTGGTTCCATCCAGCTTTCTTTCTCATTGGGTCCTGTGAGTTTATTTTTGCCAGAGGCAGGTCTGTTCTTTGACTTAGGCCCAGAAGTGAGGTCTTAAATCTCTTAAGAGAAACAGCACGGTGACCCGACTCTTCTTTTGCAGAGAAGGATGCATAACAACCCAACCTCACTCCTTGATTAGTTAAATAATAATGTTTAACTGTTTGTATCTATGCATTACCCAAACAAAATATGCACACACTCCAGCTGTGCATTGTTTTACATAATCAGATTTTGATGAGAGGTAAGTATTTAAACAGTTGTCTGCGCTGCACCATCTCTCATGGTGACTCATTGGTGGAGAGGTAGAATGATGGAGGAAACACTGGAAGGTAAAATGCTGAGCTGTACTGCAGGCTGCTGCTGCTGCTGGGGTGATCAGAGGGCAGCTCCACGTGAGCCAACGTCATCCTTCTCCTTTTACTGCCAGAGAGAAGGAGAGCCACAATAAAGTTTGACAATTGGGAGACTGAGCTCAAAACTGAAGGAAATACATTTTCTTTTTAACTGTTGGTGATGTTTTAGGTTTATTTCTGGGTTTTTGAAAATTAATTAAAAGCTTTTGATAAAAAAAAAAAACATTTAAAGTTTCAACTCCTCATATTATTTGTCTTATTTGAAGCTGTTTTGCAGTGCTGCATGGATGAAGTGCAGATTGTTAAAAGAAAATCTGCCCCTTAGCTTCACAAAAACAACACATATATTCCCTAGATCAATAAATTTCCCTTGGAAACCTGATGGAAATACCATAGAGTCCATTTCTGTCCTAACATCAACTGATGAATTCCTTTATGGTTTACTTTGGACTACTAGTTGTCAATTGAGTGCTAAATCCGTCCACCAGGTGGCGACATGTATCTACCATTCAAGTCCTGTAGTTTGGAAGGTTATTAAGATTTCTAAATATATATATGTATATTTACATTTGCATCTCTGTTTGTGTTTAAACTATTGTGTGTTTGTGTGTCTATAGGTTTGATTACGATATTAATGATTAATTTTATTTTTGTTTTTCAAAATAAAGGTGAACAATCAAAGTTTAGTGACAGTAAAATGGTTTAATACAAAGAATTATTATTCAGTATAGATATTTTGGTCTGAATTTGAATGAATCTGCAAGATATTTAAGGGGAATTACTGTTTTTGTCTGTCGGAGGTTTAGTTATGTTTAATATGACATATTAGACACAAAAGAAAACCAGATTTGTGCTTCAAAATCAGCAACTATTGATCTGTCTCAGAACTTAACAAATCCAACACTAACAATCAAATTTCTGAAATATGTTTTTTTTATTTTAAGCATTTAAAGATTCATTTTCTAGTGTTCTTTACATCGTTGTCTGCCTGTATAAGCATCTGCTATTGAGCTTAAGCTTACAGAACCCCTGGTCATTTAACATCCCATACCATCACACCTCCACCACCAAGCTTTACTGTGAGGGGGATCTCTTCCTAATAGATGATACGTTCATCTTTTACTTTTGTTTTGTTAGTCAGCAGTATTTGTTGCTAACAGTCCAAACAAATGGGGATGGAAATGTCAGGTCAGCTTTTGTCTGCAGGGGTTCTACAATAGAGGCCATCTTTATTTATTTATTTAAGGATCCCCATTAGTCTCTACAAGAGTAGAGACTACTCTTCCTCTATAAAGAGTATAATTTCTGTGTAATAAAAATGTTTTTTAAAATTTTATTTTAAAGTACAATCAATTTGTTACAAACAAATCTTTGCCCAGTCTTTTTCTTTTTGCTGAATCATGAACGCTGAACTAAGGTGAAAAAACTGAAGTCCAAAATGCTTTGCACCTCTTGGTGCTCTCACTTCCGGGAAGGTTCCCCAATGTTTAGTGTAATAAACTAAATAGGTGACTATATTAATCCTTTTCCAGATTGATTGTCATCACTGAATTTGTCTCTGGTATGTTATTAGATTTCTTTAGATCGGGGCATTATGTGTTGCTTATTAGTCTACTTCATATTGTCAGATGGTTTCTAATGATCTGACAGGTCTGGCAAATGAATTGGCTGAGGATTAATCCGCCGATCTGACTAAGATGTCAACACTTTTTTTACAGCAGTTTGTTGCAGTAGATATTCCAAAAGGTTTTAATGAATTTTATGAAGCATCTTTAGTTGCACTTCTTTTTCAGACTTTCTCAGCTCAAAGCTACATATTTCCTACCATTTTAACCACATAAAGTCCTCTAATCTAAGATTGCTATTTGTTTCCTGCACCTTGGCTTGCCGTGGTAAAGAAGCTTAATGTCTGCGTTGCCGTAGACAGATGGACCCCTTGCTCGAGGATAAACTTGCATAAAGCCAGACAGTAACAACAGAGAATTGTGTTTCATATGTTGCTGCTCAGTTTCTCGGTGCTGGAGTAATTTAATGGATGGTTGACACGCTGCGTTTGGATTGAAGCTGCCTTAAAGCGTTTTCATATGTTCAGGCTGTGGACAGGCACATGTAAAATCCCTCCTGTAATTTCTATCCAGTGGAAGTCATTCCTCAGAGGCTGGACGAGGTGACTGGTCTGCACAGATCACATGTTCTCTCCCTCTCCTTCATTCCCTTTTCCTTCTCTGTTGCAGCACTCTTCATCTTCCTCGCCTCTCCTGTCCCTCCTGCTTTCTCTCTCTCTCTCTGCCTCATACTCTGCTGGCTTGGTGGTTTCTCAAAAAACATTTTTTGAGGATGTGAAGAGGGAAAGACTGAGTGAGCTGCAGCATGCAGAGCTCTCTGTCCTCTCAGGCCAACGCTTCCCCCTCTCCTCCATAATCTATCCCTTTTATATGTCCTCTCATCCTTTCCTCGAGGAACACGTCTTCTGCAACGACATGTATTCCCTGGATGACTTCGGGTAAGGCCTCGCCGCCTCTCTTTCTGTGTTTGCAGAGTTGAGTCGCTGTCGGATCGGTTATGGAATGTGTGGGAATGATTCTTCACTCCTGAGGGTTTCTTTTTAAAGCTTGGCTCGGCTTTCAGGCCACATAATCTGTTTTCTTATTGAAAGAACATTTGTAGGTTTGCTTGTCTAAGAGGAAAAAAGTGGATTTTTCTGGATTTTCTTCTGTGTTTTTAATGAAAACAATGCGAGGGGAAAAAAAACGCTGACCTTTTTTTCTCAGTTATCCATGTCCACACACCCCTGTCCTCTGTGCTTTCTTTACCCGGAGAGAATTGATCTTTGAATAGTTCATTTCACATTTTTCCAGGGAAAAGTTGTAATGAGTTTCTTGCTGCCTGTCAGTGCTGCTAATTCACAGCAAAAGTCTGACTCAAGGCATCACATAAGTAGGAGAGACGGGAAGAAAAGGATAGACAATGTTAATCTAGGATTGCTGGATATACCAAGAGCCAGATGATATTTAGACAAAGAGGTTTGTGGATAATATGGCAGATTACAGCTGCTTCATGCTGATTTGTTGCAGCTAACCTACAGATGTGGGTCAGAAGGGATAATATCAATGGTTTAGGCTTGACCGCATGAACTCCAGTTATCTATTTCAGCCAGATCAAATGTGAACCCACTGTGCATTTAACATGTAGGGAACATTTCGTCTTTCATACGTACATCTCTGATCATTATTATATGGTTAAAGATGAAGGTCAGGGTGTTTGCCTGCAAACATTGGTGCCACTTCCCTTCAGAGATGAGGATTACTGTCGCTATGGGGATAGTGGGGGTTGGCGTCCGCATTGTACAGTATGTATCTATGCCCTCTAGCCTGAGGACTGATTGGCATCTAAGGACATTTGGAATAAATTATTGATATAATCTGGGGCAATCAGTGTGCTGATTTTATGCTGTTCACCCGCCATGATAAACAACTATATCTATGATAAACTATTTCAGACAATTTCCAGCACAAGAAGTGATTGTCTAAATAATACATCCAAATGGAACACAATATGTGTAAAAAAGAAGAACATTATTTAGATTTGAAAATAAACCAAAGAAAATTTCCAGTTCAATAAATGTTTAAGTATTTATACCCTCAGATATGAATTAATGGAAAGTTTCTAAAAATCATAAATACAGCAGGATTCCTCAAAGACCGACTGTAATTCAACATGTGTTTCATATGTAGCTTTTTTACACTGTGTTATATATTTTTAGGGTTTATTTCTTTTATGGCTTAGATCTGATTTAAGCCCAAATTGTAGCTCCCTCGAAAGTAGAATATTATATAAGATCGATAAAAGAAAATGCCCTGTATTTCTGTTCAGACCCTTTACTCTTCTACCCTAAAACACTGTTTGCCTTCAGGGATGGCCTGTGAGCAAACTGATCTCTGTAGAAATCCAGCCGTTCTAGAACATTAGTGAGCAATCAGCATCATAAAGATCGAGGAACACAGCAAATGGATCAGGGAGAAGTTTAAGATAGGATAAGATAATGAAACAACATGCTAAGGTTTAAACACCTCACTGCACTCTCCTCAGGCCAAGGAGGGCAGACAAGTAGCCAAGAGGCTGCAGAGATCCACAATGCAACACTTCACAAATTTTTATTTATCAAGCAAGGGCAAGAAGAAAAGCCAGAGTCCAACCTTTTTCCCTCTACAGACAGGAATTCCTTACTGGATGTTTTTGCAGACGTTAGCGAATCGCAGCATTCATGGGAGCAGTGGTTTAGAGTTCTGGGTTCTGGAAGATTGACGAGTGGATTGACAGTACAGTACCGCTGCATAAGCAGAACCCTAAGGCTGGTCCTCTGCCATGTTTGCTTATATCCTTGTCTTACTGCATCACATGCATTACATGTATTACTGCTTAAATACTCAGGTACTTAATAAAAAAAAAAAGAAATGGAAAATTCCCCCTCTTTATTCCTCAAAAATAAGGGAATTACTACATGTTTATTGAATAATCCACGGATCAGCATTAATTGATGTAGGGCCTGCTGCTGTGTTGGAGTCATTGGTTCACCCCCCGATGTAGGAGACACTGCAAATATATGGAAGAAGAGGCTCTGGTCACATGACACTACGATGGAACTGTCTGGCATATGTGCAAATTACCACATGTAAGGAGAACTAACAGCTTGACGCCATGGTTAAACATGGTGGTGGCAGTATGATGCTGTTCTTCAGGAGGAGCAGAGTAGATGAGAAGAGGCATAAAGGTAAAGTCATGAAAAATGAAACCTCCAGCGGAACATCGACCCGAAATATACAACCAGATCTACAGTGGATTATTTAGATCCAAGCTTATTCATGTGTTAGAATGGCCCAGTTAAAGTCCTGCTTAAAATAAAACAGAGAAACTGTGGCAAAACTAAAGATGCTTCACATCAGGTATTTCTGCAGTCACTCATAGGTTTTACCAATGGTTTGCTGTAGATATTGATAGCTGTAGGCAGGAATGGTCTTCTCTATTAGTCTTTCTTGCACCAGATCTGGACAAGCCTCTGACTGAAGACTGTTGTTTGACAGACTGATAAAGAGGATGCTCACTGTTGCCCATAATTCTCTTCACTTTAACAATAATTCTTCTTTGTGAAATAATTTCAGAATTTCTGGACAAGTTCTAGAACAAAGCCAGCCTTCTTTGCTTGTTTGGCTTTTTAAGTCATTAGCTCTGATATCGTTACCCTTGCAGATGGTTGAGGAAGAGATCACACTCCACAACAGACTGATAGAAGATATACAGCACCATGCTGCAAACACTAAGGGACCTAAGCTTCCTTAGGAAGTACAATCTGCTATGTAGTTTTGGTAGACTGCTTTACAGTTGCGTCTCTAATCTAGTTTGTTGTCTGGGTGAACTACAATGTTTTTATATTCCTCCACCACCTCTACCTCTTCTACCATGATGTTCAGTGCATGAAATTTGTTCCTGTTTCTTCTAAAATCTACAATCATCTCCCTTGTTTTGTTAACATTCAGTATCAGATTATTGTTTCTACACCATGCCACAAAGCAGTTCACTTGCTCTCTATACTCAGCTTCTTGTCCATCTTTGATGCTCCCAATGACTGCAGAGTCATCTGAGTATTTCTGCAGATGACAGGACTCAACTAGTGCTGGAAGTCAGAGGTGTATAGTGTAAAAAGGAATGGTGAGAGTGCCGTCCCCTGTGGTGCTCCTGTGCTGCTGAGTACTTGATTAGACAGCTGACCCTTCAGTCTAACAAACTGAGTTCTGCTTTTCATGTAGTCTTTGGTCCTGGTGATTGTTGATGCCTCTGCCTTGTTTAAATACAGTGGGTTTGTTGAAGCAGGTGTATGATGGCATCTTCACCGCCACAGCAGGAAGCAAACTAGATGGCCGTCCTGATATCTGCTTGTTTGTTTGCTGAGTTGAACCAACAGGAGTCTCTCTAGGACCTCCATGATGTGGAATGTCAGGGAAACAGGTCTATAGCACTGAGGATTGTTGAGTTTTCTTTGGTACTGGAACAAGGCAGGAAGGCTTCAAGATCACTGAAACTGTCTCTTGAGTCAGGTTAACATTGAAAAGGTGCTTTAGAATCCCACAGAGCTGCTTTGCACAGGCCTTCAGGGCTCTGGGGCTGACACCATCAGAAATAGTGGAGTAGAGTATTAGTCATTGCTTTCCTTGGGAATTACCATGATGATTGGGATTTTTATGCAGCTTTAAAGGGGTCATAGAATGATTATATGGGGTATTTGGTACTGGTCCTTAAGGTCTCTGAATAGGGTGTGTAACCTTGGTTGGGCTGAATATGGCGTATTTGCTGTTCTTTCAGCCCTAATGCATGCCTAAGCCCTAGAATGAATCCTTTTATGGTATGCTCATGAATATTTAGAGGAGCTGTGCTCTGATTGGTTGGTTTACAACCAGCGAAGCTGCTGAGCAAAGACGCATCATAGCAACAAGCACTCACTCATTGAAACATGAAATTGTTGATATGGTAGGGTGACCAGACGTCCTCTTTTCATACCTAAAAAAAAAAAAAATGTCCGGGGGGAATTTCAAAGTCCTCCTGGATTTCGGTCGACTACAGTCCTGCATGTAGTCCAAACACACCGGGCATTCGAACCGAGCCGTGAGCTCCGGGGCTTACAGACCCGACACCGGCGGCCCAGTGCTTCTCCCAAACCTGCCTGCCCGGAAAGGGGAAGCACGGGAAGGTTGGCGGGGGGGGCATACCGTCACCGGGTCGGGTTCGGTCTGTACATCCCCGGCTGGCTCGGTTCGAATGCCCTGTCCAGTCTACTCAACCCCCCCCAAAAAAGTGTCCTCCTTTTCAGAAACCCAAATCTGGTCACCATACATATTCTAGCATTGCCATCATTGCTTAGCAACAAAATATTATTTGCAGCTTACAGTTTTACATTTTAGTAAAAAAAGTTTAGCAAATCCTGCTTTGAACTGTCCAAGATTTTGAAAGCTGTCTTTCGTAAAAGAGCAAATGAACAGCTGAGCATCAAACTTTGCAAGTATCTTCTGATAGACAAAGATATCCATGCCTGTTGAGTCTTCGGATCCTTGGGAAGACTGAAAATTTCTTCACAGTCTGTATGTGAATGTATGTCAATTTCGGGGCATGACAAAAGTACAGGCTAGAACCAAATAAGGCAACATCCCCGAATTGACGTCAATTCAGTGCTGCGTTTGAATTCACGCCTTTTATGGTGGAAGTTTTGAATTGTGAGATTTGCAGAGAAATGAGGCGCCGATGGGGTTTGAACTTCTCTGTACGTCCATTTCACCGACTGAACTATCGTTATTCATCTATGACAATCTAAACTCGGTTTTGCATTCTATGACCCCTTTAAATGTCTGTCTGAGCAACATAGTGGGTCGCTTTGGGGGTGTTGCTGGTCAATTAACATGAAAGACTTCATCCTCTGAGGCAGAAGGCAACCCTTATCAATATTAGTCACCACAG